TATTGGCAGTTGTTCATTGTTAGGCCAGTATCCAGTGTCAGTTGCTTCATTTTCATCACTTCATTTTACAGTGCAACAAATACCATTCAGAAACAAATCCTTGAATTAATACAAGTTCAACCAAAACAACTAGCTTTGCAAGTGCACTTTCTAAAGGACAATTATTATTTAAGCTAGAGGCCATAACATCTGAATTGCATTTTACAACTTAATTTTCTGATTTAGTCCTATAAAGAGCCCTGATGGCGCAGTGGTTAAATGCCTGTACTGCAGCCACTGACTCATAGGCCACAAGGTTGCGAGTTCAATACTAGCCAGGTCTCAGGCTAGACTCAGGCCTGCATCCTTCTGAGGTTGGTAAAATGAGTACCTAACTGTTGGGGGGCAATGAGCTTACAGTTGTAAACTGCTTAGACACCCCACAGTGCGGTATGAAGCGGTATATAAATGAAGCTGCTAGCTGCTTTGCTTTATATTGGTGTAGTCCTACACATTAATTGAAAAAAACAAACCCCCAAACTGGTTTAAACCAAAAATGACAGTATAAACCAAAATCTTTGAAGTTTAGGTTTTTTTTTTTAAAAAAAAATCTTCACAGTTCTATTTCAATGCTCTTGATTCCTTGACAGTTCTTCAGATTTTTTACATCCAGTGGGAAGATCTAGACAGAGATCTGTAAATGCATTCAGACAAATTTAACCATACAGCCTTCTGAAATCTTTGCACATCTAAGAAGCACCTAAGTGCTCAGAGATGGAATGAGTGGGGAGGATTTATGTGGAAACACATGACCCCTAAACTAGGGCTATTCAAAATGGTGGCCAATGGACCAGTGTTGGACCTTGAGTCATCTGCTTCTGGTCCCTGTAATGCTTTCAAAAAAGAAATAATTGTAGCCAATGGACACAAATATTGTGCAAGTCCCTGGCAACATGGAAAAGAAAAGTTGCTGGTCTCCCATATCGGGTAACTCAAGAAACACTACCTAGAACCCTGTGGTCCTACTCAGAAGCAGAAAATGCCTGCATAAGTCTATTCATCATCCTGTAAGAGTTTTTGTGAGTTGAGAAACAAGGAAAATTTTGTAGACACACTTGGCAGCCTGTGTCTACAATGACACAGAAAATACAAATATAGAATCCCTGGTTTCTTCACAGGTAAGAAATGCTATATTAAACCAGACACTATGGGAAGCTTGTCGCCAGGGCATAGTGCAGTAAGTAGCGATCTACTCTTTGCTCCCAAATGTCCAGTAATATATGTCTGCTAATGATGCAGGCATCACTCGACGTGCCATTGCTGATGGGAATCTTGTCCAAAGAACATTCCTGAAGATAAATCTTCAGGGGTAGGCAACTCAGGTAACTATTGTCCATTATTGCCAGAACCACCATGGGCCACAACAGCCCCTCCTGGAGAAACTGGCCACAAACATGTCACTTCCAGTGGGTGAAAAACTGAGGAGGGTGGTTAAAACAAGGTATGGGAGATCTTGTGCCTTGTCTTGGAAGGAAGTCACACCCTTACCACAATTTTTGCCCCCAAATGGGAGGTGAAATGGGCCAGAAAAAAACAAAACAAAACAGTCAGGGGGCTACATGTGGAGCATGAGAGACGCTCCTTTGATCTTAAAAAACCTGGAGATTAGAGAGGTTGAAAAAAATATATATACAGAACACTTGAAAAGATATTGTCCCCCTTTGCAGAGGGAACACTTAAATCCCAGTCTCCAACCTTCATCTTCCTCATCACTGGCTTGGGCTGACAGCTTCTTCAGCCTCTCGATCAACTGGTTCTCTTCTTCATCATCTTCCACATCTTTTTTCTTCCGGTCTTTTTTCTTATCCCGTCTCTTCTTTTGCTGTGTAGTTCAGCAAGGATGAAGGAAAGAGGGATGTCAAAGAATGAATGAATGACTTAAAATATTTATAAACCACCCTCTATCCAAAGATCTCATGTGGCATATAATAAAACACAATTTAAAGCAATGTACGCAATAATATAAGATTATAGAAGGGTTTTCCAGTTACATTTCCAACTCTAGTCTCTACTCACTTACAACAGGGGCCTACCTCAGCAAAATAGAGGCCATGACACTCAGATCAGAGCCACTGTGGTCAACCAGAATGCTTTCTGGTGAAAAGGTCCATGTTACCTCGTAGATACTGAAATTGCTCACCTGTTGTTGTTGCTGCTGCTGCTCCTTTTCTTTCTCGGCTGCCTGCTCCTCACTGGTGTGCTTCTCCTCCACAGCCAACTCCTCAAAGAACTTGGTAGACAAGAAGAAATTTGTGGTCATGGCAGGAAGGTGACAAGAGAAGCAAGGTTGCCTAGAACTACTCCTCTCTGGTGGAAATGCAGCAACTAGAATTTAATCTCAGGAACCTCAGAATGCCTTCCTGGCTTTCATAGAATGGAGGGCATGTGAAGGTAGATTTACAATCCACAGATTTAAAATTCAGCTCTCACACAACTTTATTAGCATGTTTTTTTCAGACCCACAGATAAAGAGTACAATGTTAACTGTACTTCTAGATGGCACACATTTTAAAGGCTTGCCTCTCTGTTCTCCAAATCACCTTCAATGTCTCTGAAAACCAAGTGAAAGAAAGCAAAGCACTCTTGGACTTTGGAAAATGCTATAAATGTGGTTAACCATAAACGTTGTACAGTTCCCCCAATTTCCAAACGCTGAGGGGAATAAGAAGGGATACTGAAGCACCACGGCAAAACAGCATCATGATAATGAATAGCTAGAACTAAATAAAACCCACAATACTTACAGCCCTAAGAGATGTAATAAAGCCATGAAAAAGCACAAGATTGAACCTTACCGACTTCTTGGTCTTTTTATCTTTCTTCCCCTTCTTAACCAATTTGTCTGGAAAAAAGAATAAGGAGTTATCTGAGATATTTTGCCTTCCCAAAGACAAGCCAGAAGGCCATTAATATTCAATTAATCTCATGAAAAACACAAAATTCTTGGCAATACCAACCCAACATTCTTGGCAACACAAACCCAAAAGCACAGCCTGTCTCACACTTAATAAACAGCGTGAGACTATTACTGAAAACTTGGACTAGGCTGCAAAGCCCTGGGTTCAAAGCATAAGTGACCTTGCATCAGTTCCTACCTCTCAGTGTAACCCACCTCACAAGGTTGTTGGCGGGATAAAAATGAACAAGGGAAGAGAAGTAAGTGCATTACTCTGAACTCCCTAGATGAAGATGAGTGAGATTACAATGAAATATACAAAATATTGTAAGTATGTCAAAATAGGCATTTGGAATATTTTATGAAAAGGCATACTAAAAGTATCATAGTAAAAGAATTTGTTATATAACACTTGTTTATAATGAGGTGAATAATAAAAAACTATACAAATGTAATTAATTAAATTAAAACACTGTCCAGAAACACAATACCGTAAAAAGAACAACGAACACTGTCAATTTACTGAACAATTTCAATTGAGTATCCAGCTGCAGAATAGGTATCCCTTAAATCGGGGCCAAAACACACTGCAGAAATAATCCAGTTGGACACTGCTTTAACTGGTCTGGTTCAATGCTAGGGAATTCTGGGAACTGTAGCTTTGTGAGATATTTAGCCTTCTCTATTAGAGATCTCTGGTGCCACCACGAACTACAGTTCCCAGGATTTTCTAGCCCTGAGCCAGGGCAGTTAAAGTGGTCTCAAACTGGATTATTACTGCAGTGTGTTTTGATCTTCTCTGTTCACAAAAAAGTGGCCAGGAAAGGAGGGCTGTCTTAACATCTGAAGGAAGTATACTCCATATTATTGTTACCTATCTTTTTACTGCATTATTCAATCTGTAGCACCCCCATAATCACTAAAAATAAAACCATAAAGCACACTGAAAAATGTAGAGACAGTATATTTTCTACCCATGGTACAAAGGATTCCTGAAAGTCCAGTGTACACCACAGTCTTAAAGTAAAACCACTATGATATAATAGTCAGACTAAGGGAGTTTGCAGACTGCCAGAAATAGTGCAAATTGAGTCCACTTTTAGGGTTAGGGTTAGTGCTAGGGAACCATGGGAACTGTATTTTATTGTGGCACCAGAGCTCTCTGACAGAGAAGGCTCAATGTCTCAGGAAAGAAAGAAAAAACAATTCTCATGATTCCCTAGCACTAACCCTAACCCTAAAAGTGGACTCAATTTGTACTATTTGTGGCAGTCTGCAACCCCCTAAAACTAGGAAAGCCCAAGGTGAAACCTACATTTACACATGATGATGACTGAACAACTCTAGGTCCTTCTCACCTGTGCTCTCAAATCCTCTCTTCTCACTCACAACCTAACTCATCTCATAATATTGTTTGGAGGATAAGATGTCCATTAACATCATTTTTAAACAATAAAATCCTACACATGAGGTGGCAGGGCTGGTTAAAAATCTAATCAAATAAATACATGATTAAATTTTATTTGATTACAGCACCATTTATGAGGCTGTAAAACATTCACTTAAAATGGTCAAGTAAGAGACCAGACAATGACATACAGTCGGTCCTCCATATTCATGGATTTTGCATCTATGGATTCCACCATCCACAACTAATAATAATAGTAATAATTCCAAAAAACAAACCTTGATTTTGCCATTATATACAAGGGACACCCATTTTACTATACCACTGTATATAATGGGACTTGAGCATCCATGGATTTTAGTATCTACAGGGGTCCTGGAACCAAACCCTAGCAGATACCAAGGAACCACTGTATTTTCCAAAACTGGGAAAAGATGGTGTTTTTCTTTTCTTTTCAGGTCACACATGCATTAATTTTAGCTATTCATAATACACGCGTTGGCTTGGTAACTTTCAAGAGCTGATTTGTTAGGATTATCAAAAGATGCTGATGCATTCAATCTGTAAATATAGCAGAGTAAGCCATTTCAGAGTTAGCAGTGTGCTTTGAGAGAGGGAAAGAGATTTACCAATTCACTGGGGATGTCTACAAGGAAAGCCAGCATGGCATAGCGGTTTGAGCACTGGACTATGACTCTGGAGAGACCAGGGTTCGATTCCCAGCTCAGCCTATAAAACCAACTGGATGACCTTGGGCAAGTCACACAATCTCAGCCTCAGGGGAAGGCAATGGCAAACCTCCTCTGAACAAGTCTTGCCAAGGAAACCCCATGATAGGGTTGCCATCAGTCGGAAATAACTTGGAAGACACACAATAACAATGAGCACACAAGCCCCTTGTTGCAACACCTCCATGGATTTTTAGTTGGATTGTGGATACAATTTAAAGTGTTTGCGACTAGTAAAGCCCTATACATGTTGGGTCCAAGTTATCTATTTCCCTTTATGGGCCTGCCCATGTCTTGAGATCTTCTGGGGAGGACCTTCTGTCTGTGTCACCAACCTGACAGGTACATCTGGTGGGAATACAGGAGAGGGCCTTCTTGGTGGCTGCTCTCAGGCTCTGGAAATCAAAGGCCTGCCAGAATAAAAAGGTCTTCACCTGCCCACAGAAGGATAGCCAGGTGGGCACCTTCTGTGGGCAGGTGAAGACCTTTTTATTCTGGCAGGCCTTTGAGAGCTGATCTCTTGGGGGAAAAGGGCCTTTCATACACTGTATTGTTTATATTTGTGGCTCTTCTTTGCAGTAGAAAAATAATCATCTTTCCATACATGGACCCAACATGTATAGGGCTTTACCAGTCACAAAGACTTTACATTGTATCCAGAATCCAACTAACAGTCCATGGAGGTGTTGCAACAAGGGAGTATATACAGTTTACTGTATATACTAATGTATAAGGGCCTGAACAGACTGCCAGAAATAATCCAGCTTGAGACCACTTTAACTGTCCTGACTCAATGCTAGGGAACCATGGGAATTGTATTTTTTTCTGAGGCACTGAGCCTTCTCTGTCAGAGAGCTCTGGTGCCACAATAAACTACAGTTCCCATGATTCCCTAGCACTGAGGCAAGGCAGTTAAATTGGTTTTAAACTGGATTATTACTGGCAGTCTGTTCAGGCTCTAAATCTAGAGGTTTGAGTCAAAAAATTTGACTCACAAAACCCAGGTCAACTTATCCACCGGTCAATCTGAGTACACTCGTCCCTCTACCTTTGCGGCTTGGGACTTTTGTGGATTTGATTATTCATGGATTTTATTAATATGTTCTCTCTAGGAGTGTCTCTATGGTCAACTTTAAGTTGCACTGTAGGACCTAAAGATTCCTAGAGATAACACTCCACTAAGCATTTGTAGCTCCTCCAATGCAACTCTATGGTCAATGTGTGACAGATGTTGACCACAGAGTTGCACTGGAGGACCTAGAGATTCCTAGAGAGGCATTCTCTCACATAAAAATGAAAGGCCTTTGCAGACTGCCAGAAATAGTACAAACTGAGTCCACTTTAACTGTCCTGGCTCAGTGCTAGGGAATCATGGGAATCTTTTTTTTTTTCTGAGACATTGAGCCTCCTCTGTCAGAGAGCTCTGGTGCCACAATCAACTACAGTTCCCATGATCCCCTAGCACTGAGTCAGGGAAGTTAAAGTGGACTCAATTTGCACTATTTCTGGCAGTCTGCAAAGGCCCATAGTGTTTTTGTTATTTGCGGTTTTCCCACATTCACGGGGGTCCTGTGCTTCTAACCCCAGCGAATGTGGAAGGATGAGTGTAGTTTACTGTAATTATATTTTAACTTTTGGACAATGTACATTTTTAACTGCATTTCTTTTTTTTGTGACACATGTAGTGTAGAGGTTTGAATATGCTGGACTACAATTCTATTGTTTGTCACAATAAACTACAGTTCCCAGAATTCCAGAGCATAGAGCCATGGGAGTTAAAGTGGGGTCAAGTCGAATCCTGGCTCAGCCATGGGATCCCACCTTGGGCAAGTAACACTCTCTCAGCCTCAAGGAAAGGCAAAGTGTATACAAGGCAACCATTAGAGCCAGTGGTTTGAGTGTGTGTGGGACTAGAACAGGAGAGCAGGATTCGAATCCCAGGTCAGCCACGGGAACCCACACAGTGACACCTTGGGCGAATAACACTCTCTCAGCCTCAGGGGAAGGATTATTTCTGCAGTGCGGATTGCTATGGTTGGTGGTGGTGGTGGGAAACTAGTGTAAGGCAAATGGCTGCTCTCAGAACCAGTGAGACTGCAGGGGTACAAGGAATCAGGGCAGATGTCACCATTGGTGGAGCACTAGAGCTCCCAAAGCTGTCCTCAAAGGACAGGCATGGTTCAGATTTCAGCCTGTCACTTACAGAGCCTTTAGCAGGAAAAATTAAAGGTGTCATCCCTACAAAAAAGTGGAGCAGCTTTAGCCTCCTAGCTTAATTATGAAGCCTCCTATTTCACATGTGACTAAGCCTCCAGATCTCCTCCCAGCCTTGATTAACCTGCTTTGTTTTAGCTTTTCTCTTGTCTCACCCACACACTTTTATCCCAAACAATTCCCATCACAATCCTAATGAAAATGGTCTCTTCCTCTTTTACCTCATGGGTTGCTAAATTTTTTATTTGTTCTGCTTCTGGGTTGCTGGTTCCCCGCTCCCCCTCTTTTGCTAGCAGGGCCCTTTAACAAGTAACTCCACACAGAAAATAACTCAACTGTTTGTTGTGTGACTTTTTCCAAGTCGTTTCCGACTTATGGCAACCCTAAGGTGACCCTACCATGGGGTTTTCTTGGCAAGTTTCTTTAGAAGAGGTTTGCCATTGCCATCCTCTGAGGCTGAGAGTGTGTGACTTGCCCAAGGTCACCCAGTGGGTTTCTATGTTCAAGCCAGGATTTGAATCCTGGTCTCTATAGAGTTGTGATTGCTGTTGTTGTTGTGTCCTTCAAGTTATTTCTGGCTTATGGGGACCCTAAGGTGACCCTATCATGAAGTTTTCTTGGCAAGATTTGGTTAGAGGGTTTTTTTTAACATGGCCTTCCTCCCTGAGGCTGAGAGTGTGTGACTGGCCTAAGGTGCTGATGGCTGAGCAAGCTCTTCAGAGTCTTAAGGCCTGTACAGACTGCCAGAAATAATCCATCCTGAGACCACTTTAACTGTCCTGGCTCAATCCTAGGGAATAATGGGCATTGTAGTTTTTTCTGAGGCATTGAGCCTTCTCTGTCAGAGAGCTCTGGTGCCACAATAAACTACAGTTCCCAAGATTCCCTAGCACTGAGCCAGGGCAGTTAAAGTAGTCTCAAGCTGCATTATTTCTGGCAGTCTGTTCAGTCTGTTAGTCCAACACCAAGACACTACTTGACACCGGCTCTAATGGCTCCATCAGTGAGTGAAACTCCCATGAGGTGTCACCCAGTGGGTTTCCGTGGCCAAGCCGGCATTCGAACCCTGCTCTCCAGAGTCCTAGTTGAACACCTACTATGCCACACACTGGTGCTAATGGGTGTATCTACACTTTGCCTTCCTTTGTGGCTGAGCTGGGAATCGAACCCGGGTCTCCAGAGTCCTAGTCCAGCACCCAAAGCACCACTCTAATTTACACCAGTGGTTCCCCATTTGGACTTCAACTCCCAAAATCCTGACTTTTGGTCAAGCTGGCTGGAGCTTCTGGGAACAGAAATCCCAAACACTAGGAGGACCAAAGTGTGGGAATTGCTGATGTACACTCTACCTTCCCTTGAGGTTGAGAGACTGCGACTCGCCCAAGGTGTCATCTAGTGGGTTTCATAGCCGAGCCAGGATTCGAATCCTGCTCTCCATTCCTAGTCCCACACCCAAACCACTATACCACACTGGCTCTGATGGATGTATCTACACACTTTGCCTTTCCCTGAGGCTGAGACAGTGTTACTTGCCCAAAGTTTCACTGTGTGGGTTCTCATGCCTGAGCTTGGATTCGAATCCAGCTCTCCAGTCCTAGTCCCATACACACCCAAACCACTGCCTCGTCTACACTTTGCCTTTCCCTGAAGCTGAGAGAGTGTTACTCGCCTAATGTGCCATCGGACCAGGGGTAGGCAACCTTTCCCCTTTAAGGGCCGAGGGACTTCAGCTCCCAGAAGCCTCAGCCATGTTGGCCAATAGTCCCATGTTGGCCAATAGCTCCTGGGATTCTGGGAGCTGAAGTCCTTCGGCCCTTAAAGGGGAAAGGTTGCCTACCCCTGATTTAATCTAACACTTTGCCTCCTTTCGTGGCGGAGCTGAGAATCGAACCCCAGTCTCCAGGCTCCTAGTCCAACGCTCGAACCACTACGCCACGCTGGCTATGGGGGAACGCAAGCCTCTCCCCTGTCTCTTTAAATGTCCCCTCCTCAGCTTCCCCCCTCCCTCCCCTGCTTCCTCCCCACCTCCGGCCCCCTCCATGGGCCTCTCCTTCCCCTCGTCGTCCCCGATCCACTCCTCCTGGGCCTTGGGCTGCTTCCCGGCTTTCGGCATGGCTGCTCCCCACTTCGCCGACGACCCGGAACCTTGGCTCCTCACATGCAGCGCTCGGCCCTACTGCGCCTGCGCGCGGAAGGACGCGAAGGCCACGGCTGCTCTAGGCCTCAAACCATAGAGACGGCAGCGGCCTCTGAAGGATTTTATTTTATCCTTTGAGAAACCATAGAGTTCCGGAAATGCCACAGTCCTCCAAAAAGGACGGGTGGAATGAAAACCATAGAGATGAAGCCGCTTGCCTTTGGTTTATTTATTTATGCTCATGATTCCCAAATGTTGAGCCTCCAGGGTTTTTTTTTGGACTTCAGCTCCCAGAATTCCTGGACATTGGCCTAGCTGGCTAGGGCTTCTGGGACTGAAAGTCCAAAATTACCTGGCGAACCAAAACTATGAGGAAGAGAGGCGCAATGACGTCGATTTTATTTCCGCTCTGTTGGGGGGGTGAGTACAACAAGAGGCTGTTGGAAACCATAGAGACGAGGATCCCGCTTTAGTTTATTTATGCTCATGATTCCTATACATCGATCCAACAGGGTTTTTATTGGACTTCAGCTCCCAGAATTCCTGGACGTTGGCCCTGCCTGCTGGGGCTTCTGGGAGTTGAAGTCCAAAATTACCCAGCGAACCAAAGCTTGGGAATATCTGATCTGCGGAAGTGAGGCGCCATGACGTC